GCAACAAGGCAGAAAGACCAGCAGTGTGCTACTCTGTCTTCCTTGTGCAGTTTGAGAAAAGAGTTGATGGAAAACTCAATTTGTTTTTCGTTATGTGTGAAAAAACAAATACTCTGCATGTTGAGCATGCACACAATCACTGGGAAGGTGCTGCTGAGGTCAGTGGTTGTGAAGCATGTAGGGTAGAGGGGTGCTCAGAACAGAAATGAGAACATCTCAGCACGCTGACGCCGCGCCACAGAAGTGGAGTGGAAAGGGGCCACAGTGAAATCGCAGTGTGAATACCCTAGCTGTAAATTTTTTAGTTAAGGTTCCTGTCATATGCTTCTATTTTTAACACAGTTAAAATTAAACTCTGCAGCTAAGGCTGAGTGCTAGAAATTTTTTCTTCACTACTTACAGCATTGCCAGCGTGTTTTTAGACAACTTTCTTCTCCTCTTCTGCAACTTCAGATACAGGATACTTAAGCTATACAGGACAGTAAGTATCAGCTCTCCACCCTCAGGGCTGACCTCCTAAAAGACTTCCAGCAATGAGTAGATGAGATTGTTGTGACAGTGTCTGGTATCAGCTTTTAATTTGTGAGCATTTTCCTTGGCCCTCTGTTTGTGGACGGTTACTGCTGAAAATCTGCATGAAACTGTCCTTAATTCACCCTGCCTAATGCTGTTGCACAGATGGCATCTGCAATCAGTAGATCAGGGAGCACTGGAGTAGCTAAATGAGACTTGCAAGATGGGGTCAAAGCCTCAATCTTAATTCTTCAGTTCCTAGCCTCAATCCAACCACACTTAAAACAGCCTCCTGGTCTGCAAAATGTTTTGACATTGAACACTTCACAGTCAGGCTCTGCCTTCTGTCCTGCAGACCCACCTGTCCTGTGGGGTTGTTTTATTTGTCTTTACAATAGCAGGTATTAAATTCCTTGAGGCTGTTGCTTCTGCCTTTTTATGTGCTCCATCAACTACTGCTATGCAGATGCAAACCAAAGCTGCTTTACTCAGTACAGAGTTCACTTGTGGAGTATTTGGAATTTGCCTTTAGCTCCATTTAGGGGACACGGGAAGGTGGTGGTTGTATTTAGGCTGCCTTGGCAGGCAAAAAAATCCCATGTTTTGGTTGTATTAGTTTGATCAAAAGGGTGTGAGGTGACTGATGAGCCCCTTAATGCAGGCTGGCATGGTGGGAGCAATGTTACCAGGCCCTGCTGAGCCTTCCTGTTGCTAGGGCCCAGCGCTGCCAGCTACCACTGCTTTGAAGTTGGTACTTGGTATCTCCACAGATGTTAAAAAGATTCATCATCTTGATCTCAATTGACTCAAACCACTTTTCTTCTAGCAGAAAGAAATTTACATTTTTGTGTGTGTCTGCAAAAGAGTTCTGTAAAAATTTCAGAAGTGACTGTTTCATAATATAATGCAAAATTTATAGGTAATGGCTGCTCTTTCTGTTCCCTGGAAGGAAAGACTATTACACTTATCCCTTTTTAACCTTTCTCATTATCCAGTGAATCTGGCAGGTGGAGGTGAAAATAGGTTGAGATCTACTATAAATCACAGAATGGTCTGGATTGAAAGGAACCTTAATCTAGTTCCAACCTCTCTGCCATGGGCAGGGACACCTTCCGCTAGGTCAGGTTGCTCAAAGCCCCATCCAGCCTGGCCTTGAACTCTTCCAGGGGTGGGGCATCTGCAGCTTCCGTGGACACAACCTGTTCCAGTGCTTCACAGTAGAGACTTTCCTAATATATAATCTAAACCTACCTGCTCTTGGTTTAAAGCATAACCCCTTGACCCAGCCCTACATGTTCTTGTAAGAACTCCCTCTCCAGCTCTCCTGTAGGCTCCCTTTAGGTACTGGAAGGTGCTATAAGGTCTCCCTGGACGTTTCTCCAGGCTGAACAACCCCAGCTTTCTCAGTCTATCTCCATAGGAGAGGTGCTCTAGATTTCTGATCATCTTCATGGCTTTCCTGTGGACTCACCGCAACAGGTCCATGTACTGCCTGTGTTTGGGATCCCCAACATAGGACAGCTAGACACAGAAGTGCAGGTGGGGTCTCACCAGAGTAGGGTAGAGGGGCGGAATCACCTTCCTTGACCTGTTGGCCATGCTTGTTTTGATGCAGCCCAGGACGCTGTTGAGGTTTTCTGGGCCACAAGGGCACGCTGACAGGTCATGTCAAGTTTGTCATCTGCCAGCACCCTCAAGTCCCACTTCTTTGCACAACTCCACTTAGCAAGCCTGTCCAGGTCCCTCTGGATGGCATCACTTTCCCCTAGTGTGTCGCCCACACCACACAGGTTGGTGTCATCAGCGAATCTGCTGAGGGAGCACTCGATCCCACTGCCCATGTCACTGACAAAGATGTCAAACAGTGCCAGTCCCGGCACAGACCCCTGAAGAACACTTGTCATTGGTCTCCACTTGGACATCAAGACATTGACCACAGCTCTTTGAGTGCAACCATCCAGCCAATTCTGTCTCCACCAAGTGGTCACTCGGTCAAATCCATGTCTCTCCAGTTTAGAGACAAGGATGTCATGCAGGACAGTGTCAAATGCTTTGCACAAGCTCAGGTGGATGATGTACTTACAGACTCTATTCATAGAGAACCTGGTTCATGATTTTTAACAGGTTTTGTACTGTATTAGCAAAGTATAATTTTATAGAAAAAGAGTGGCTAAGGAGAAGTAGCCAAGTAGAGACATTTATCAGCAGTAGTCTTGCTACGTTAGTTGAGATCCTTCCTTCTGTTAAATCAGCTTAATTATTACTCTTCCAAATACACTGTTTTAATTTCTCCTTTTTGAAGCACCCACTACAGCAGTGGAGCAACTCAGCACAGCAGCATCCAGCTGTGCAGCAACAAGCATTACCCTTGGGGACCACCTTTGGGGACCAACTGTGTTTTTCTAAACTCAGAGAGTACCTTTAAACTAAGATTCAAGATTTCACACAGAAGCCCTTGTGCCTTCTCGTTTCTTGCTGCCATGGCATGAGTTGAACAGAATTCCAGTATTTATAGATTGTTGTATAACAACAAACTTACCTGAAAACTCACACCACTGTAAGAAAACTGGTACTTTTTGCTCATGATAGTAAAAGCCTTAGTGTGAAGGTCAGATTACGTGAAAATCCTGGGAGTGGTGTGATCTTGGGAGTTTTGGGAGGTTTAGGCTTTTTGTTTGTTTTTTGAAGGGTCACAATTTTTGACTGCAACCATGTTACTGCTTTTTGTCAGCTGTATGACTTTTAAATTGTAAAGTTTATTTTTTTTGTGAATAATGGGCATACATTTTATTGATTAAATGTATTTGTAAACCCAGGGTGTGTTTTTCCTTCTAATTAAAGAGTTCACACTTGACCTCAAGCCAGTTTGTACAGCAATGTCCTCCTGAAGACACAGATTAATGCTGCAACTCAGGAGAATGAACTGCCATCAGCCTACTTGGAACTAGTGCTGCAAGCACCACATCTGCAAAAGGTGACTGAAGTCCCAGGGCCACACCTGCTGCACTCCTGTGACAATGTCTGCCCTGCAGGCAGATCCTAGAGAACAGTTCTGAAGTGTCTCTGAGGTCTGAGGTAAATGTGATCTTTAAGAAGTATGGCTTAGCAGTCTCCAGGAGGGATTTAAGAACTTCACACCCCTGGTACTAAATTGGGTCTCTTTCCTGAATACATGAAAATTTGACAGGCATCCTTTAGTTGCATTTCCTGTTAATGGTTTGATCAGCTGTAGGTTGGGACTGGGAAATTAATTCTAGGTCCCTGTGGTTCAGTGTGTACTTAAAGCTAGGACCTGAAAAACAGAAGGTATGAAAAAAACAAACACCAAAAAAACACCGGCATAAAATACTCCTTAGGATTAAGTAGTGGAGCAGGTCTTGGACCCCAGCTGAATCCTGCTCAGTTTTGGTAAGCTAAATGTATGTTCCATTCCTTCCCCAAAGCAGTGCAGTTCCATATGCCAGAGAAGCAGCAGCCCTGGGCATTTGGACCAGAGGCCAAGTTCTTGCCTACAGAGAAAAAATCCCAGACTGGAGCAAGTGGTCCCTTTTCTGAGCTACTGCATCAGAAAAAGGCACCCCTTTCTCAGGCACATGGTGTGATTCTTGGGGATCCCCTGTGCAGGGCCAGGAGCTGGACTCTGATGATCTTTGAGGGTCCCTTCCAACCTGGAGTATTCTATGATTCTGCTTGTTCCTCTCCAAGTTGTGCAGGGCTGGCAGAAGCACATCTGCTGGTCTGAACCTCTGAGGCCAAAATGGGACACGACCCTCAGAAAGGCTCAGGCACACATCCCTCAGGCACTCTTCAGATCTGAGAGAACTGGGAGTAGGCAAAGCAGATGTTTGGTTACATAACTGGGAGAACGAGAGCAAACAATCTGACACGTCGAGAGGCAGCACTTCTATCTGTGGCACTAGCCTCAGGCACACAGTTAAGCAGCTACAGACTTCATCCTTTCCCTCAGAAACCAGGAAGAATGATAGCAGTGAACATGTTTCTTCCCTTCTGTTAGGTGTCAAGGCACACGTGGTCTTAATTACTGCTGGGTGTTTTAATCATTGTTACTAGTGTGCTCACACTCATTTACAGTGAGTTACTAGGTGTGCACCACCAGATTGTGAATTTCCCTTCTGACAAACAGGCAGATAGAAAAGCTGAGTTTGCACCTGCTTTATTAGAAAACTGACCAGTACAGCCTCAGCTCTCTGCACGCACACAGACACCCCTGGGAGCTTGGTTCCCAGGGCTGTGTGGAAATCACATTTCCGAATACCACATCAAAGTGAGGGAAATGCAAACGGCTGTATCATCACCTGCTTTGACCCATCTGCTTTTGGCTGAGGTGTCCAGGGAAGGCTGGGACATCAAGCTGCTTGGAGTATAATCAACGATCCTGATGCTACACGAGGAGACACCAAAAGTTCATTTGCAGACAGGATGAAGCACATGTTTCTGTAGATGCTTTTGTGGTTTTTCCTTTGTGGCTACTCTGACAGCTTCTTCTCTAATATCTGCTTCACCAGAACAGGATTGGATCGTCCTTGTGTTCGTCTTTGTACCAGACCAATTAACTTGTTTAGAACTTTTCGATTTCCTGCCTTTATCTCCATAACCTTTAGAGAAAAAACACAACAGATACTGATGTTACAGGAGAAGTGGACATCTTCACGCATTTCCAGCCAAGGTATGAATATTTTTGTCCTTCGCACCATTGTGACGGAAGACTGTACTTTGGGCTAAGGTGTTATTTACAAAACCTTCCTTCAACTTTGCAATAAGCTCCTGCTCTGCTCCCATGAGACAACAGCAAGTCCTTACAGCAGCAGGACCTTACCAGAAAGAGCTCCTTATTGAAAGTGTCAGCAAACCCTTTTGGATTTTAACCATGTGTGCAACTTGAACAGCAACTTCCTGGAAAAGAGCTAGAGAAGTGAGACAGATTTTCTCGCTAACAGGATCTACCATTTTACTGAATATAATGGTCCATTATAACATGCCATTTCCATCAAATCATAATCTATTTGATAATATTTGTGAGGTCCTTCAAGCACAGATGTGTTTTTGTAACAATGTGTTATTTCCTCTAAGCACAGAATCCTTTGCAACATGACAATTAACTGGTCAGAAATACAACCTCCCATCAGACAGGGAGTGTTTGATGGACAGTCACCTGTAAAATCATGAAGGTCATGCTTAAAAGCTAAAAGGATTGGAAATTTCACCTTTGGGCATTCCTAAAGGAGCTGCTACTCCTGAAAGACAAGCATCTGGCCTTATACTGTTTATGTGGCAGGGAAGGCATTCTCTACACTGTCAGAGTTACTGGACAGAACACAATAGCTGCAACTAAACAGGATGTCATATTTGCAGATATTAAGGGAAGGATTATAAACACAGGAACCACCAACTGTGCCAATACCAAGCTCAAATCAAATATTGCTGCTCATTACAGTATCTGAATTACTGGCAGTCTAACATCCTTTCTGTAATGCCATGCTACAGAAAGGGCTCATTCATCTGGAGCTGCTACAAATTGCCTATATGGGGCAGAGCACACTACAATCCAGATACTGCACTGTCACAGAGTGCTCAGTGCTGGCTTCAGCAGCTGTTTGTAAGTTATTTCCTTCTGAAGAAAGTCACTCAAACCGCAGAGCACACCGTGTCCCCCCACCCCAAGTGCTCAGCTAAAGCTATTTGGTGAGGTAAGCTCTCACAGCAGTGTAGAGCAGTGCATTACAGGCCTTCAAGACAGCTTTTGCCTCGGCAAAAGACCACCTGGAAAAAGCAGGGAAATGAGGCCACTCTACTGCAAGAGGAATTACATTCTTGGAGAAAGCATTATTATTGAAATGGGAGCATGGTTATGGACCTTCAGCTTCTGCACTTCCCAGTCAGCTCTAACCTTCTTTCTATCCACGCTTGTGCTTTCGTCCTAGTCTGAAAACACAGCAGCACTTTTATCAGGCTCTGCAAATGAGTCAGTCTGATGGAGGTCACGCCGACCTACTGCAAGCTCATTTTCTTTATCAAAAGCTCTTGCAGAGCTGTTAGCATCCCCCAATGAGATCTGGAGTGGGTGGTATTGTTCTCAAAAGATGTTAATGTTTTTTTCCAAATGGCAAATGTAGCTAGACAATGTTTATATTAGAAGTAAGCTATTCACTTCTGCTTTTACATTTTTGCTCCAGAGAACATATAAGCACTTGTTTTCATTTTGGTTTTTATAAAGCAGATTATATAGACTCTCAAGATCTCTCCCCACTCCTCCCTCCCCTTCATGATCAAACAAGGGTTTTTTTCCCTTTTTTACCAGCTCAGCCCTTGTTAGACCAATGAGCCACACTGCCTGCTGTGTGTCTTTCCAAGGAGATGGGGAAGAGCCAACCCCCCCATCTTTCCTACTGCAGCATTTGAGTTGCTGCCACAGCCCAGCAGAACAGCAGAGCAGGCAGCAGCTCTGGAGCCACCACTGCTGCTGCTACCCCACAGCCACTGTCAGGCAGGAAAGTCAGCTAGACTCTTTGGCAATGGATGGAGATGGGGATGTGACAAAGAGTCAGATGCAAGTAAAGTTTTTGCCTTGCCAGCTCTGCTAGAGTCTCTAATTCCATAACTCATATATGCCTCACTAGCACATAACTTCCATTTCCAGCTTCGGAACAGTTTAACAGTGTTGCCCCAATATGACAACACATGACATAAAAATCAGAGTTATGTGGCAGGGTCAGGGTAATGGCAGTACAGCTGGAGAGGGGCAGGGCTCTACAGTTTTGCTTTCCTGCATTAAATTTTTATGGTCTCTCAGAATGACTTAGCACATTAGCCGGACTGGTAACTTGTTCTGCTGATCATTTTGCGTAAGCTTCAATTTCAAAAAACCCCCACTTAGTAAAATAAGAAATGGGAAGAAAAGCCTGACAATATCTTGGCAGCAGCTTTACTGCTCTGGCTCTAGAGCTCAAATGCCATCAAAACAGAAAAAACAGGCCATTTTAACTCCCCTTTCAGTGCCACAGACTGCCACAGTGCAGAAGGTTCCCAGCCCCATCATAATCACCTCATTTTCTCGTCCATCAATCACTGCCTGGCAGATCTGTTCAAGCTCTTTTTGATCCTGTATCAGTTCAAGCTTCTGTTCTTTAACAATTTCAAGAGGAGTCTTCCCTTCTCCCTTCCACAGCTCTGCAAGCACCTGAAAATCACAATAAAAGCAGCAAAGGTCAGTGTCTTGACTTAACAATATTGTTTACATGCAGCATTTGTTGCCGATCCGAGGCCAGACAGTAGTTACAGCAAGAGACAATTGTCTAAACGTGAACAAACCCAAGATTTAATCCTGTGCTTCTCTGAAAGAGCTCTTGAACCCTCCCTCCTTCTCTGCATCCCGTAATAAGACACAGCATTGTCACTTACTGCATGAGGACAGGTTAATGGTTCACCACAGGTGCTCTGCAGCCTCTGGCAGCCCCTGGACCTGTCTGCTCCCAGCAGCAGAGGTAGCTCTGTGCCAGTGCCTCTCCAAAGACGCGTGCTGAGCACAGCCCCCTGCCCCTCGCCGTGTGGAGCCGCCGCTCCCTCGCTGGGACAGGGGCTGCCACGACAGAGAAGGCACGAACTGAGAGGCTGCTCCTCCAGCAGCACTTGTGCTCATCTCCCATTATTCACAGGAGCTGCCTGAGAGCAGGAAGGAAATGCATTTCCATGAGCAATGGCTCTGCCCGGGAACTGACGATTAGCTGACTATTGTACCAAGTCCAATCCCAGGTAACTCAGCCCATTACCAGTCCTCACCAGCAAGCTGTAATGAGGATACGTATGACAAAGCAGAAGAAAAATGGTGCCAAGCAGAATGAATGCAGCAGTTCCAGCCCACCTATGTATCATCTCCAAGTACTGGACTGCTGGGCAAACCCAGGCCTGCGGAATAATCGCCTGTTAATGCCAGTGTGTTTTCCTACACAGCAGCAGGACTATCGCCCTGGAATACACTTGAGAGGAGAGAACATTTATAAAAAACCAATTTCCTTGGGCAGTCATTTTCTGTATTCCCTTTGCTCTTATTTCAGGGCTGTGGGAGGATAGGAAGAAAACCCTTATTAAAACAGCTCCTTGTGCTCCATCCTGAGCTGAAGATATAATTGCATGTTTGGGCCACTGCTGTGTCCCAATATGGAAGTGGATATTGTGTCAAAATTTCAGCATTAAATATTCACTGTAGGATGAAGAGGAGGCCAGGATAGGGAGACGAGGAGGGGCATTCAAACTGCATGTTTCTGGAAGAATGAAGCATGTGGGATTGTATCTTGACTACTCCAGCAATTTTCTTCAGCATGACAAATTTTCTGGTACAAAAGACCTTTGGTTAAAGAATTCTGTAGCCAGAAGTATTGAAGAATCATGCACTGATACATTTCCTGCAAGAGGAGATTTGTCAGTGGTACCCCAAAGCTTTCTATGGGACCTTATCACTCATCTGGCGACCTTGTGAGAGGGTAATGACACAGTTGTATTCTGGCAGCTACATCTTCATTTTTCCTTGAAAGAGGGTTAAAGGCAGATCACAATATTGAAGTTACTGATAAGCAGCCAGAGTTACAATGACTATAAATAAAGTTTTCAGATGTTTATACTGGGTAAATCAGTGCTGTGTATGATGTTATCTACAAGATCTTCCTTCTAGTGCAGTGCTCAAAAATCATCATGCCAGTTCTACATGGAATCCCCCTGCAAAGAAATACATAATAAACAACAGAGATTCAGCCTGTCTGCAGCTGCTTGGCTTTTTTCAAAAAAATTTTGTTGCACTCCATTACTATCCCAGGCAGCCCTTTGACTTCTTCCCTGAGGGCCCAGGAAGGAAGTTTTCTGTCCTTGAGGCCTCCCAAGGCACCCATACTGTTCATCACCCCTCAGAATGAGCCCTGTCCTTGTCACACAGCACAGCCCATAGCAAAACACCCTGGAGAGTCTGAAGTGCTGCACAAATCAGGGGCTGGACAATGAATAAGCCCTTTCACTCTCCTGGAAAAAGGCAGATGTGATTTTTAGGACTGGTATGTACTCAAGCAAGATGCCATGGGCTGCAGGAGGGGAAAATCTGCAACAAACAAAATCTATGCAGCCAACCATGGCAGAGTTACCCAGGAGCAACTCATACATCAGGATGACTTAGATCAGGGGCAAGACAGCTTGACAGTCAGAGATCCAGCTCTGATTCCCTGTTATGCCTGTGCCAAATATTTCCTGGCACCAAGAAAAGCTTGCCCATTAGAAACCTTGAAGGCACCAGATTTTCCCTGTGACAGCTGCATCATGTGTACTTTTCCATTTGGTACCAAGCATCTCCACGTAGCTAGTAGAGCAACAATGTTATCAAGGCCCTTGCTTGTTTACAGGTATGTAGGAAAGCAGAAAGAGATGTTGCCAAGACCTGTCAAAGATGCACTTTTTAAAAATGTGTTTCTCCACTTGGCAAGGAGTAGGAAACTAAAGAAAGCAGTTTAAAAAATGATTTCAACTCATTTGCACAAACTGCCTGCACCAGCACAGGAGGATCAAATTATGAATTCTCCAGAGCCAAAATGTGAATCTCAGGCCTCATTTCCATTACTGAAATCTCAGTAGTTTCTACTATTGATTCTCGCCTGAGCGTGATTAGATTTTAATGATGTTCTGTGCTCTCTACCTATGCAGACAGAGCAGCTTTGGTCAAGATGAATTAATCAGGACTCACACGTCTGGCTGCCATGGGCATCATATCAAACATTTTGCAACTGGTGGACGTGCCAGCTGACTGCTGTGCCTAAGAACACTCCAACTGGAAACCCTATCTGCAGTGATTTGCTGCCAAGGGTGGGAGGAAAGCAGCAGGCAGCACCACTCGAGTCAGTCCTGTGGGCATCTCTCCTTTCCAGTGACGGCAGCCTCGGTATCTGGCAGTTGTTCCTCAGCCTCTCACAAAAGCAAGGGGCAGGCTGGGTCCAGTCCTCCAGATGGTACAGCCATAATTGTCAAAGCAGATGGTTCTGTTTAGATTTGTGTACTGTACTCAATTCCCTGCTACTTACTTTGAAGTAGGGGTGCCAAGAGGGTCTGTTGAAGTTATTCCTATGCGAGTGACCTATGCAACTGCAGGAGCCAGCAAGACCCGAGGTCTGCTCTGACCCATGCTCCTGCTGAGATATGGATCCATGCTGAACTAGTGACAGGGGTGTCCGCACAGAGTTGCTCTAGCATGGCTTTCAGCAGCAGGGGCAAGTTTCTGCTTCCCTGGCCCAGGAACCAGCCTCGTCCCACAATGCCATAACTGAAAGGCAGGTCTGTTACACCAGAAATGCACTTGTTGCCAGCCTGGCAAACAAGGAGTGAGACCCATCTCAGGCATACTCCCAATCAGACTGGTTTCGGCCCTGGGAGCAGCACCCACACCTCCAACTGTGGCCTTCGAAGTGGTGCCTCTGGGGTGGGCCATGGCACATGTCTGTGCAGCTGCCCTGATCCAGGACACACTCACCCCACAGCCTGCACACCAGCAGAGCTGAAAGCTGCTCCTCTCTGCACAGGCACACCAGTCTAGAGCTGCTTGGGGACCTCTGGAGTAGGATGATATTGATATTTAGGGTTGGACTCAATGATCCCTGAGGTCTCTTCCAACACGGTTGATTCTATGATTCTATGGCAAGCTGGGCGTGAGCTCTGTAATTACCTACGTGGTCATTATGTAAGCACACAATGCCCTTTGCTTGGCACATGCATCCTACCATACAATGTTCTGTGTCTACAATCAGTGCTCACAACTTCTATTTGCTGTGTTTTACTGCCTTATGCAGCAGAGACTGAACACAAAACCTTTTAAAAAATTTAAACCACCAACAGCTTCCCGCAGCGAGCACATACGTGTACGCATGTCTGTGCACTCACCCCATCCAACCCTGCCATCCTTTCTCCTTCGATCTGTGTCTGCCACTGCAGATCATGCTCCCCCTCCCCAAGTGCTGCAATTCATCTGCTGGTGTGTATATATAGCCCCTTCTGCCCTCAGGCCATCCAGCATCTCTGCCTACTGCTGAGAATTGATATAAACATTTGTTACTCTTCTGACATCCAGGCAACCAAAATACTTTTCTAAATGTGGCAAGGTTTCTGCAGTTTGATAGCATCATCACTTGGGGATGGCAAACAGTACTGTGATTTCCCTGTGTCCAGTTTCAGAACACCAAGGACAACATGTACATTACAAGGAGTTGGTAATTAAACGAGAAATGCATCTCTGAAATTTGTGACATTTCATAACCTGTCAGAAGTGTTGGCACACAAGTATATTGCAAGGTAAAAAACTACCACAGAAGAGCATTAGTACCCTGTCCCTACCTCCACAAGGAAGAGACTTAAGACTGGAGTTCTGAAGCTTCCCTTTCAAATACAGACACCAAACCAATGGGTGTGCCACAACCCCTCAGGCACAGAACTGCTCTGCATTCCAATGCTTTTCCTATTAATACTTTACCTCCTTTTTGAAGCTTTTACTTTTCCAATACAAAATTTCCAAGTGCACATGCCTAAAGCCAGGCACTTAAATCCCTATTTATGACACCTGTCTTATGCAGCTGGCTATCCACAGAAACAGACCAACAAGGAGACCAACTTAATTAAGAAGCACAAACATCTCCAAAAAAAGAAAATAAACCAGAAAGTTTAAATGTCTCCAAGTAGGGTAAAGACACTCGTTTACAACAGTTAGACTTGGTTTATAATCATGAAAAAAACCCTGACCTGACTTCAACAGTATTCCAAAGTTGTACTTGGATTTAATCAGTGTGCTAGAAAGATGGAAACCCGCCCGGTGCTAAAAGTTTGAAAGCAGCCAAGGCAAGTCAAATGTCTTCATTAACAGCTTCACTGATAAACACAGAAACAGTCACCTAATGTACTTATCTAGAGTATAATAATTCATCTGAAAAGACAATGCATTCCACATAAATGAGCTGGCAATGATTTAAGGTGAATGACTGATTATTCCCATCACAAAAAACTCCACATTTTGTCTAGAGACACAGTAGTTACCATATCCATCATAACCAGTTCATGATTTTAGATATAAATCATCCAGAGCTGATTTTTCAGACTGTCCTAAGCAAGAGGATATGTAAAAAGAGAGAGAAACCAGCCTCACCACCTCTACCTGCTTGAGAGGTTCACTGCTTCAGAGATTCACGATAGCACTTGCTCAAAGGATAAAAGAAAAGCCACCCCTCTCCCACTTTTGACTCAGGGGTACAGCAAAGCAGAACTCTTCTTGTGACTACACTCAGGTGAATTGTATCCTTTTCCACATGCTAATGGTTGGGAGTGTAGACCTTACTGTCCCTTAGTGCCTAGTAACTGATACTCAGCTTAACTACAAGCCATGGATTAGCTCCCACTGACCTTGCACTCAGGTCTGACTTGAACTGTTCAACTGACATTGAGTGTCTGCTCTGTTCAGAAGCAGGATTTATTTAATTGACTTCAGTTCACATTGTTGAAGTCCACTATTTGGCTTGTGTTCCCCCTTCCAACACTGAATATACAGACAGCTGTAAGACACTTCCATCTATTATATGTATATAGTATAGACTAAAAAATCATCCTTCAGCAGCACTCAGTAATTTCCTTTAAAATCAACTGTTGTACTGGTACACACTGATTATAAAATTGCTACACAACTGGAGTAAGCAGCCACACATTCAGAGTACAGTAAAATTGAAAAGGTACTTGCCTGCTTTGCTGCTGTAGAAGATATTTCTTTTTTTTCTAGAAGGTTCAAAAGGTCAGCCAGGAGAAAAGAACTGACTGGGCTAGGGAAAAAAGAAGCAGAAGTTACCTTGGAGAATAAGGTGATGTAATATATCTATGCTACTGTTGTTTCCCT